GTCAGAGCAGAAATTAATGAAATAGAAAAAAGAAAACAATACAAAGAATCAATGAATCTAAGAGCTGGTTCTTTGAAAAGCTAAACAAGATAGACCCTTAGCTCAGTTTACCAAAAGAAAGAAAGCAAATCCAAATCAACAAAATTAGAGATGATAGGGGAAACATCACAACAGACACCCAAAAGATCCAAACCATTATAAGAGAATATTTTAAAAACCTATACACTGCTAAATCTGGAAGTCTAAAAGAAATGAATGGATATCTAAAATCATGGGATCCTCCAAAGTTAAACCAAGAAGAGATCAACAGTTTAAACAGACCCATAACATATAAGGAAATTGAAACAGTAATATAAAGCCTCCCAACTAAAAAAAGTCCAGGCCCAGATGGATTTACAGCAGAATTCTACCAGGCATTTAAAGAAGACCTCCAACCAATACTCCTTCAATTATTCAAAATGATAGAAACAGAGGGAGAACTCCCAAACTCTAATACCCAAACCAGGTAAAGACACAACCAAAAAAGAAAACTATAGACCCATAATCCTTAATGAACAGATGCAAAAATTCTCAACAAAATACTTGCAAACTTCATACAGACACACATCAAAAAGATCATCCGAAGCAATACAGACACATACATCCCAGAGATGCAGGGATGGTTCAATATATGCAAGTCAATAAACATTATTAATCATATAAATGGACTCAAAGCCAAAAACCATATCATCTCAATAGATGCCAAAAGGGCTTTTGACAAAATTCAGCATGGATTTATATTCAAAGTCCTAGAGGGATTTGGACTGGAGGGAATATACCTCAACATAATTAAAGCCATATATAACAAACCCACAGCCAACATCAATCTAAATGGAGAAAAACTGGAAGCATTCCCATTGAAATCAGGAACCAAACAAGGCTGCCCACTATCTCCACTTCTCTTTAACATAGTACTTGAAACTGTTGCAAGAGCAATAAGACAAGAGAAGGAAATTAAAGGAGTAATAATTGGAAGAGAAGAGATCAAATTATCCCTTTTTGCTGATGATATGATATGATATGATATTATATCTAAGGGATGCCAAAAATTCCACGCATAAACTCCTAGAAATTATTAACACATTCTGTAAAGTGGCAGGTTACAAAATTAACCTACAAAAGTCTATAGCCTTTCTATATACCAATGACAAACAGTCAGAGAAAGAGCCATTCACAGTAGCTGCAAAAAATATATATCTTGGAATAAATCTGACCAAAGACACCAAAGATCTCTACAATGAAAATTTTAAATCGTTAAAGAGATTGAAGAAGATACCAGGAAATGGAAGGACCTCCCATGTTCATGGATTTGAAGAATTAATATTGTTAAAACAACCATCCTACCAAAAGTCATATATAGATTGCTTGTTATTGGTAT